AAATTTGAAACTTATTTTCTTATTTTTGAAATCGCACATACTTAACATTTTAGAAGTGAATTTTTCCCTTAACTTTAGGCTCGGGGTCGTGCCCATGAGCCTTTCACGAGCTCAAGCTTGTCCCGAAACGAACCCGAACCATTCATGGGCCGACTTTCGACGAGCTACTCGACCTTTTTGCTACCTCTAATAATTGGATAGCAAGTTCAACGCAAACCGATGGGCATCAAGACTTCAATATGGTTGGACCAATGGCTCATTTATTAATGGTAGTAGTTGTAGCAAATGATTGAAGAGAGATCCAAACAAAATACAACATAATTGGTAGGAAAATACAATTATTCAATTAATTAGACAAGGAATATGAAAGAACTCATGCCATGGTAAAGAGAAGCGCGACAAGGTCCTAAAGTATATGCTAGGTCCTTTAATTTTAACTTTGGTCCTATATATTATTTTCTTTTGTTGGAGCTCAAACTTTATTTCGTACTCAATAACCCTGAGTCTGTTGAAAATCTCGACTAGAAATTACACGACATATTGTTGATTATTCTTAGCCTATCGGTGTACAATATTAGCAACACCTTGTTCTTTCCACACCAATACTACTTGAACCTCTAATAAAGTTGAAAACTCAAAAACATTAAGGACGTTTGGTAAAACTTCCGCTTTTTGTAGAAGAATTTTCAGATATTTGAAAACTAATTTTTTTTAAAAAAATTCATTAGTAGAAAAACTTTTATAGGAAGTCACATGAGACCATTTTCTTCTAATTTGTTTTCTAAATTAGAAAAAGTACTTTCGTAAATGAACCAATCGGGTTTAAAAGTAATTTTTAAATCTCAAAATCTCATTTTTTAACTTCTTAAAAGTCATGCCAAATGATTTTAAAAGAAATTGAAATTAAAGGCCTACGATTAGAGGTGGCAATGGGTCAATGGCTCGTTGGCTCGGTCCATGGGCTACTCGGGACGAGCCGAGCCCACGAGCTTGTGCCCACGAGCTAGTACAACGACCAAAACGGTCACTTTTTTAAATTTAACTGTTGGCAACGATCATTGAATTTTTTTTATCGTTTTTCACCTTTATTTTTCTTCTTCTTTATTTTTTTTACTTTATAAATACTCTCTCCATTTAACTATTTTTCCACACACAACAACGACGCTCTCTTCATACTCTTATTCTACAATCCACATTCTACCCAGTGACATCCATTTGGCTCGCTAACTTGGGTGGCCCGTGGCTCGGCCCGAGAAAAGTCTGAGCCGGCCAAGTTCGTGGCTTGGGCGGAGCCCCATTTTGGGGTACTAGCTCGAGCCAGCCTAAAAAAAGTAAAAATAAAATTTGCAATATTTAAAAAGAAAATTTATTTAAATGCCTTATTAGTACAGGCTGCTGCCTTGTTATAACAATAGATATAGCTACCTTATTGCTGCCTTGTTAAGGCAGGGACAAAAAAAAAAAGCGAGTCCGCACATCTCGCTAAGGTCAAAGTCGAACCTAGATTTTTTGGTCGAGCAAAAGCTTGGCTCGACTTGATTCAAAAAAACTCGAACCATTTTTACTCTAGTTGAGCCCGAGCTTCGAGTTTCGGCTAGCGAGCCGACCCAACTTGGCTCGTTGACATCCCTAATTCTACCTTTAATCATTCATTGTTTCTCTACATATTACAATTTTCAATCAATTATTTACTTATTTACAAATTACAATACATTCTCTACATTATATTTTCCTCACATTACAATTTACATTCCTACAATTATCCAATTTCTACATATTCGTTTATCATTTCATCTCCTTTTAAATTCTTATATTATCAATTCATCACAAGTGGATTCACAATAATTTGTTGAGGGCTTGTTCGGTGTCGGTGGCGAATCACCTATGACGCCACAAGTCAATTTCATAATGAATTTGCTGGTCTTAATGACATACCAATTTCTGAAAATATGTCAGATTTGGATACTCACGGAAGTAGCGATCCAATTAAGTTGGATGACGTTGATATTTTCAAAATGGAAATGGCGGAAATAGATATTTCTGATGCAAGATGGAAGCAAAAGGGGAAAAAGCAGAAAAAATGTTAGGATCATTTTAAATTGATTTCAACTGATCGTACAGTCAACGGAGTCGCAAAGTATAAAGAAATGTTAAAATTCGTGGGCAAGCACACGAGCCAGTCGTGAGAGTAAAATTTGTTCTTTTACATTTGACAATGCCAGTGTTAATAAGCCAATTATTGATAAGTTTTGTAGGGTACTAGCATCCCGATTTTGATGGTTATTTATTTCATGTTTGTTGTGTGCGTCATATTTTTAATTTAATTGTGTAAGATGATTTAAAACATATTAAGCTCCCGTTTGACACATATTATTTTTTTCATTCTCATTCTTCTATCATTTTCAACCACACATTTTTGAATAAAATAATATTTTCCATCACATCAATAACTTTTCCTTTCTTTTTAACCATATATTTCACTTTTACTTGCTTTCATTGTTTCTAATTGCTTTACATTTTATTAGTTTGTAAAAAGACCAAACCAATTCCATCACATTAATAACTTTTCCCTCTTTTTTAACCACATATTCCCTATCACATCACTTAAAAAAAATATATTCTCTCATTTTAATATACACCAAACACACTATAAGAATGAAATTCAAAAAATTAGGGATGCACTAATATATATCACGAGGTCATAAGTCGACTAAAATATATTTTGGAAACATTAATGTGCGTGAAAGACTGACAAGATGCTCACTTTCGACTACAAAATAAGTATGCAGAAACTGCGTGTCGTCGGGTAAGCGATATTTAATTTAACTATATTAATAAAATTTGTTATCTTATAATACTATTTTAATTTTTTTAAAAATTGTACATGTACATATAACAAATTGTTTGTGTACAATTTTTAAGTTTACTTACTCGAAATTGTTTGTGTACAATTTTTAAGTTTACTTACTCGAAATTTAAGTAGTCGGTCCTAAGTACGAATAAATGAAAGTTTTATCTTTTTTTAAAAAAAAAAAAACAGTGGCTCATGAGCCGAGCCGACTTATTTAAAACTTCACTTTACTTTTTGGTACTTTAGTACGTTAAGAGTATCAGTATCATTACGTTTGGAGGATTTGCCCACTTTACGAAATATACCCAAATTCTTATCATTGCTTTACTTTGGAACAAAAAAGTTCAAAAATGAAAAAGAAAGCTTTCGAGTTTTAATAATTATTTTCTGCAGAATCAAGCAACGGTGTCCCACCCAGAAAGCAAGCACATCCCTACCTCTCTTTGTAAAATTCTACAAGATGCTTGTGTTCATGTTCACTTAGAAGAAATTTCTTTTGGGGGGTTTTCGTGTGTTCTAAAAATGATCGAAAACTCGAGATTCTTGAGCATTGAGAGAGAGAAATTGTTTTAGAAATTTAGGTGTCCTCAATTGAAATTTTAATGAAATTTATTAAAATTTAGAGGTCCCTGATTAAGATTTTAATGAAATTCTTTAAATTTTAGATATTTTCAATAATCAGTGGGTTTATAAAAATTTCATTAATAGAGGGATTTTAAAAATTTTGGATGGATTCCAAACTTAAAAATATATATTAATCAAGAGGATGTCTGGCAAAATTTTTTTGGAAGATTTTAATTCCTTTTCCATCCGTTGAGCCGCATTTGTTGAATTCTTGTGAGAGGCTGGGCCCCACCTAACGGTCCAAAAACTGATGAAAAGCTGGAAAAAAATTCTACCAGACAGCCTCCAAATCTTTTGAAATTTCATCATATTTGACAGATTCGTATGAAATTTGTGGAAATTTATTTAATTCACCAAATTCAATAGGATTTATAATCTTTCAAAATGCATCAAAATCATAATTAATGACACCCCGTTAGACTAGAGCATTTCAATTTGGCCACATTTCAAAAATTGAAACTCTTCGAAAATTATTGAGGAAAATCTTACGAGAACTTTTGTCCGAAATATTTGAAATCTTAAATTAAGAAATTCACATTATTTTAAATATCCATCCTTAATAAAATATACAAATAGCACCCCAAGAGAAATATTTTTTGAAATTATCCATACTATATAAAGACAGACATTCTCCTTTAATATTGTCAGTGTGTGTTTGATACACATTTTTTAGGAGAGAATATATTTTTTTGATGTGATGTGATAGTGAATATGTGGTTAAAAAAGAACGAAAAATTATTGATCTGATAAAAAATATTATTTTATTAAAAAATGTGTGGTTAAAAATGAACAGAAAAATGAAAATGGAAATGTCGGTTAAACGGGGCTCAATGCTGGAAAGTTGGTATCCAGGGACACACTGATTACTAATTAAGGGCGCGTTCGGTCCAGTTTAAAATCCAATTAAAATTGAAAATATAGTTGTTATTGGGTCCCAGTCGTCTAATAAAAGTCAACAATAACTACTAATTTTTCAATTTTAATCCAATTTTAATCTCTACCGAACATGCTCTGATTGTTAATTCATAACTTGTTCACGCTTTTAATTTGTAATTTTTTAAATTTTTTTAAAAGTGCGTGAATTTTATTACAGAACAACCAGTCTATATGTTTACTGTTTAATCACACCATTAACGTAACTCTGACATCATAATCTCCTTTTTCACAATTTAAAGTAAGGGTTAATCACATCAGTCTGTATGTTTACTGTATAATCACACCATTAACGTAATTCCGACATCATAATCTCCTTTTATTTCAATTTAAAGTAGGGGTTAATCACCTTGTACAAACGTATCTTGTAATCCACTGCACGTGCTTCCACCTATTCTTTCATCGTTGAATCCACCAACCGACGAAAACCTCCTAATCCAGGGATCGCCTCCATTTTCAAACAAAGCCCACCTCCAAAATTAACCCTTTTTTCTTCTTTTGTGGTGAAGCACCATTTTCTACTGCAGTTTAATCTGATCGCACTCGAATTGATCGAAAATAGAGTGGATTTCTTGTGTGTTTTGGCAAAATTATGGCGGAGGATTCTTCCGAACAAGTAATGTATTTGCATGGAGATTTAGATTTAAAGATAATTCAGGCGCGTAGCCTGCCGAACATGGACTTATTCTCGGAGCGTCTCCGCCTCTGTTTCACCGCCTGCGACGCCTGCGGTACCACTGACACCAAAGACGTTGGCGGAAGTAGCCATCCCGACAGGAAACTTCACCACCACCGGAAAATTATCACTAGCGATCCGTATGTCACTGTTTCGGTGCCGCAGGCTACACTCGCCCGCACGCGCGTGCTGTCCAATTCTCAGAATCCTAGATGGAATGAGAGGTTTTCCATCCCCTTAGCCCATCCCGTGGCCTTTTTAGAGTTCCGTGTTAAGGATAATGATATGATTGGAGCGGATACAATAGGAAAAGTAACAATTCCGGCGAAAGACATTGCCCCCGGCGAGATCGTTTCTGGGTGGTTTCCCCTCATTACGTCGTCGGGGAAGCCCCCGAAACCTGATTCGGCATTACTACTTGAGATGAAGTTCACTCCCTGTGATAAAAATCCATTGTACAATCATGGCATTGAGGGCGGTCCGGAGTGCAGAGGGGTCAGAAACACTTATTTTCCACTGCGCAAAGGGTGCTCTGTAACGCTGTACCAGGATGCGCACATTAGTCATGATGTTAAAATGCCTGAGATTAAGTTGGATGATGGATGTGTTCGTGAGCACGCAAAATGTTGGGAGGACATATGCTATGCTATCTCGGAGGCACACCACTTGATATACATAGTGGGATGGTCTGTTTTTCATAAGATCAAGTTGGTTAGGGAGCCGACCAGACCGTTGCCTCGAGGTGGAGACTTGACACTTGGTGAATTGTTGAAGTATAAGTCTCAGGAAGGGGTTCGAGTTCTATTGTTGATATGGGATGATAAGACCTCACATGATAAGTTCTTCATTAATATGGTATGGATCGGTATGATGCTCTTAGTAATCCTTTTTCCTTTTATGTTCTTTTCTAGTTTTGAAGATAGGTAGGTACTTCTTGACTTTATGATAAAATATTGATTCTTTTAGTTTAAGACAATGATTGTTGATTAGGCTTTGAGGCATCAATACTATTCAAGTTTATATATATATATATATATATACAGAAATGATCTAATGAGCACCGGTGCTCATCTTATCCTAAGCACCGATGAGTTGGCACATTAATTCATTGGTGGATAAAGATTTTGTGAGTTCCAATCCACCAATGAATTAATGTGCCAACTCATTGGTGTTTAGGATAAGATGAGCACCGGTGCTCATTAGATCATTTCTGTATATAT